AAGGGGTAAAACAGCAATCACTGTTTAATGTTTTGAAATCATTCTCCATCTTTGCAACTAATGTACATGAGCATTTACATATTAATCTTGTGAATGAGGCCATGGAGAAAGAGGGGAGATGGCATGCTTCAGGCATGGACTACAGAAAGCTCAGAGAATGAGAGCAGGGAAAAGAAGTCTGGAAACCTCTGTCAGCATTTCAGTGCTGATATAAAGTGTCCAACATCTCATTTTCTTTGTCCGCACAGGAGAGACAGTTCATATCCAGTGGCTATTGGCACACTGACATGAATATGGTGCGCTGACTAGCTTTACTTCACTGTGCACCCTCTTGCCAAAGGCATCACTGACTGGTAACTTAATTACAAAAGGTCATTCCCAAAGTCTTTTCCACAGTATTTATGAGTTCACTTGAACTTTAAACTTGCCTTCTGTTCGGCTGTCATAGTTAGGCTTTGCAGTCGAATGGTCATGTTCCCCAAGCTCTGCTCAAACGCCGCCACAAGGTGAGCCTGTAAGTTAAACTGAGTTATACAACTGTAGACACTGTCTCTTTATTGAAACATTTAGAAGAGAGACTGCATAGCACACAGGTGGCTACTCAATGCTAAAACGTCCTTCTGCAACCACCAAGGAATCCGGCAGGCGAGCCCTGGGACACCCCAGCATCACCAGACCACACAGCCAACGGCTGGGCAACAAGCACAGGTGCAACTGACTGCGGACACTCCCAGACAAGAACAGGGTGCCACAAGTGGGCATTCTCTGATTGGAGCTGTGTCAACTGCTATGACCAGTCTTGGCACCTTTGTTTACTACAATTGTGTATCCCTTGAGCTGTGCAGTCTACTGACCCCAGGTATGTTCATTCCTAGTAGCTATGCCTAGGGTAGCACTTTGGTCGGAGCCATTTTCTGGAAAATCCATCGCAAGCCCTCCCCCCTCCCCCACAGCCCCATGAATATGGCCTTCTGTAGTCCTCCCCAGCATTGTTCTTCATCAGCACATAGCTGTCTTATCCTAAGTAACTACTCTCACATTCCCAGTGAAAACAGCCATGAAGAGTACAATAACAGTGGGATACCTGGCTCTCATTCCCTCTGTCCCCTGTAAAAACAAGCCGGGCTGAGTATGTGAGAAAAGGGCAGAAAATAAAACAAGCTTAGCATTGACTTTGTGGGTTATAAAGCTGAAGTATTTACTGTAAAAATAATGAAGCGAATAATTTCTGTATGAAAAGATATGCCAACTATTTAAAGTGCCAGCAAAGACTCCCACTTTGATTACTACAGGGAGAGAAAGAGGCATAAAGGGAGGGGGGGTTTTAGTAAACTCCCCAGTCAGGATTAAGAGGAAGTGAGATGTGTGTCTAAAATTTAAAGAAGTGAAATGTGTGTCCAAAATTATGTTTCAAGTGCTTCTTATAATCCAGACCACTGCTAGTTATCAGTTTCCCACACTATACTCACATTGGCAGTCAACTGTGTCGTCAGAGCTGAGACTTTCTCCTGAGATGCATCCAACTCCCTCCTTAGCTTGCGAATCTGAATAGTGTATTATTTTGACAAGTTAATTTTGTTTTAACATATGATTGTCAAAACTAAGATACACATAAAATAGATAAATAGCTGCTTTAGAGGATGAATGACAATACCTCTACATTCAACTCATTTTCCATACAAACTAGAACAACCAAACCTGGTACGGTTAGTTCCTATATGGGTAATGGTGGAAAATGATTAACCAGTTTGCTGGCCCTCAGCTTTGCTCCTGGAATCTCAGGGACAGTTCACTCTCTTAGTGGCCAGTCAGGATCCTATAATATGTTAAGGGTGCCGACACAGCCAGCAGCTGTGTGGAAGGAAGCAGGCTATGCCCAGTGGTGGCTGGGAGATAAGTTTGTCTCTCTCATGGCCAATGGTGGCGTGGGAAGATTCAGTGGGGGTTGTCTTTCCTTCTAATCTTGGACCACAGTGAACATGACTCAGATGATACCTTTGCTTTTTCCAAAAATCAGATGTACACCTTACAGATTTAGGGAAACTGATGCTAAGTGGATTTCCATCTATGTTCACATGTGGGCTTGGTAAGTAGGCAGACCAGATACTATGGTACAATGGCATGTACGCCACATTGCACCAGACACTTCTCCATTATGTTACAAGTATCCCATGCAATGCTGCCACTAAATTCACACAAAACAACTTTTGATTTTCAAAATGTAAAGAAAGCATGCAAATTAATATCTTTGCCCAGAAATGGCTAGGCCGATAGTGTGCAGTTAAGGCAGTAGTGTACACCTAAAGCTTTGGTATGCTATCGTAAAACATGGTCATTTCAATAACACACTTCAGGGCACAATGCAAAGTACATGTACTTTTGCCCTTCTTCCTGTCATCAGGTACTGGTGAAAATGTGGTCCCAGTCCAATTCTTAGATAAGTAAGAATACCTTCCTGCCATGGTTTCTTGAGAGAGTAATTTGATCACAAACTACTGTTTTTATTGTTGTCCTAGACATCCCACAGATCTTGCCATTGTACCATCACTTAAAACATAAAGATGATAGTAAAACCCCAATAAATTTAGATCCATGCATACAGGCAAGCTTGACTGCCTTGCTGGCAGCCTGGTCAGTCAGTTCACAGTTGTTATGATGCTCTAGAGTAGTGGTCTGGTCTTTGACCTTTCCGGACCTTGGAACCACCAGTAAACCCCGTGTAGCAGCACAGGATCTACTGTCCTGCAACCACATGACAGGCAATCATGTGACAAAGAAAAAACTAAAGTTATGACCTCACTGCTGAGGGCAGAGAGCTGTGCACCAAGCACTGCAGGACTGATTGGTGGGGTGAGCCTGGCTGGGGGAAGAGAGAAACTTTTGTGGGCAAGCGCAGTCTCCATAGGACCTGTGACCCAGGAGATGGGGCTCCATGACCCATCTGGTGGTCCCAACCCATGAATTAGACCAATGTCCTAGAGAATTAAGGCTTTCCAACTAGTAACATCCAGCAGAAAGTGATGGATGCATTGGGGAAAAATCTAAGACTAACCATGAACCAAGGCTATCAGTATATATGACTGATGTTTCAGCCTAGGGATTAAATGTAATTCAAGGCAAATTAGATATGAGGATAAAGAAAGGTCAATACCAGTGAACATGAATGTGCAAGAAGAAAATCTGGGGAATAATTCAGTTCATGCCTCATGTATGTTATTAAGTACATGGAGAGAATAATGTGGGAGTCAGCAGCACAGAATTCTGCATGCCTGTGATTCATTAAATTGAGAACTTCTGATTTTTTAAAAGTTGGGAGCACTATGTCCTTAATTCTAAAACAGCACTTGTCACTGAAGGTAGGAAGCAATACTACAAGTATTAAAGAAAAAATAATTCTTTCTTACCTCTGACTGACACTTTTCTTCGGGCTAGAAAGAAGAAGAGACATATTGAAATCAAAGCTAAAATTAGTGTTAATCTTATTCATTCGTTTGTTTTTTTAACTTTGTAACTTTTTTGTTAATGGAAAACAATCATGTTCCTAGATATCACTAGACTACATACACATGGGAACTCAACGTGATAAGAGAGCAGAGAGCAAAATTAAACAAAACAAATAAGTTCAGGTGGGGGTAGCTGTGTTGGTCTGAAGCACCAGAACAAAGTTTGAGTCCAGTGGCAAGACCAGCAAAGTTTAATTCTGGGTATAAGCTTTCATGTGTGTGCGCACTTAAATTTATAATTTCACACTTAACTTCACAAGTGTGCATACACATGAAAGCTTATGCCCAGAAGTAAACTGTGTTGGTCTTAAAGGTGCCACTGGACTCAAACTTTGTTCTAAAACAAGTCTTCAATACTTTGGAGCTTTTTTGTTTTACAATCCCATTTACTAATATCTCCACTCCAACTATTTTGATCTAATATGTATTCTTAACACAATTAATTTTTATTTTTTACCCTCTTGATAATCACATGGATACATCTATTTACTTATGAAGTCCTATTAACGATCATTCTCAGATTCAGTCAAATCATTTATAGACAACTTTAGCACAGTATGTAAAGCACATTGTTATTCTTCCAATGTATCAATTAACAAAGAGAATGAGTGCCAGAGTCACAAACTCCACATGGAAGCAGCAACAGAAAAAAAAATCATACCCTTTGGCCAGAAAGTGAACCCAATATTTCTTATCACTCCTTGGTGAACTGTTATTCCCCTTCATGGCATTCATTGTAACACCAGGCATAACTTACAACCTAACACCTTGTGTAAACGACTCAAGCTACCGCCCCCTTGTGCTGCATCCTATCCTATTTACAATGCTTCCATGATTCCCCAAGACAAGCTTTTTAGAAGAGACAGGTGCTACAGAAAACTGGGGGAAGTGGGAAAAATGTTTCATGGATTTCAGAAGCTCTGCTCATAGTTCTTTGGATCCAACCATTCAGTTCTTTTTCGATACAGATTTATATAAAAGCTAAATTTTATTGTTCAAACCAAACAGGAGAAATGAGATAATGCAACATGCAATCCTAAAGAGAGTTAGAACATTCTAAGCATGGGTTTAGTAGGGTATAACTCCACTTTAGGACAGCAATGTAAGTCCAGTAGGATCAATCTAGCATTAAGAGTACAGCTAAAGTTCTTTTGATTCCAGTGAAACTTAAATACACTTAACATTCTCTGAGTGGTGCCCAGTGCTTAGCAACAAGATGGAGATTCCAATTCTGCAACACTCACCGTTGAATAAATAGAGGATGTGCTGGAAACCAGAGAGAGAGAGGAGCCATGCACTAGAGGAAACATAAAATAAACAAATTGCTCATCTGATTGTTTGTGTATATAATACACACATGATAGCAGATTATTCACTGCAGATGCTGCTAGCAGGTTTAACATTTCATCAGCAGCCTATTAAAATCGCATCACGAGTCATAAACATGTTTACTCAAAACAAATCTTTGCAGAAGTGTCAAGAAGTAAGCTGAAATAAATGGAGGCATTATACAGAACATACCCCAAAATGGTCTCAAATAAAACCGCTTAATCGTTTGGATGTAAACGTTTGCCTGCCCGCTATGTCTCAGACATTACAAAAGTCATGACAGTGCATGAAAAATGAAGCAGAAGATGACTAGAAGCGGACAGAGTAAAGGTTAAACTGACCAGTCCAGTTTCACCATATGGTTGGCCTGAAGCATAAACAGCAAAAGGGAGTTAAAAGGTTTTACAAATCTTAAAAGTTCAAATAGAAATACAGACAAAGACTCATATAATTTTTAAGACATGCAGAGTTAAAGAGAAAAAAACCTGAAATGTATCTTGACAGTTAGGGGGGGGGGAGGAAAAATGTTACAAAAGGCACTTTTGAATCTAAGCAGTTTCAACTAGTTAGCATAAACATGTCCTTTACACATGACACTTACTTTTTATACTAAGGGTAAACAAATTAACCAATGATGGTGAAGTGTGTCAAATGCAAGCATCTATAGCAGGGTTGTCAAACTGAAGCTAAACTAAAATTGCTAGCAAACATGAATTCCATCCTAGAATTCCATTCCATTCACAACAGAAGTAAGGTGGAGGCAAGCACATGCCAAGAGGAAATTTAAAGCTTTGTGTCTGAGTTTGCAATAAGCTTGCAACAGGTATTAAACATATGGCCTGCTTTGAAAAGAATGTTTTTACAAGTGATGCAAAGAAAAGTATGTGAATTCCTCATGACCACAATCCAGAATATCCTTCAGGGAAGAGCAGGATGCAGAATTTCCGCAAAAGGAGGACAGAGACTAGTGGAGGAGGCTTGTCTGACATACAAGGTTTTATGACAGCGGTATCAATGGGGAAACCCAGTTTCCCTTCCTGCCTGCCCTCCTATTCTTACATGCTGTTCAAAGGTGGCTAATGATGCTGCCAAGCCTCTTCAAAGCATCCAGAAAAGCAGCCTTTCCCTAGCAAGCTTCTCTGCCCAAAACTCATCCCACATACAGTTCTGAATCACGATCCATTTTTCTAATACTACATGTTGTGCACTCAACAATACAATGGCATCGTTCCCTTTTCCAACAGCAACTCCATACTGGTATGCGCTTCTTTAAAATACATTCTTGTAACCTTTGAAACTAGCTTATCTTAGACATTTCCAACAAAATTTAAAGTGACCTTTATAGGAAAAGAAATTCCATGCCGTTATTATAACCCCAAGACAAGAAAATGATCCTGTCTTAAGCAACTTAACTTTACATTCATAAAATACCAAGCATATTTTGGTAACCTCTTAGTAGACCAAAGTGCTTACATTTCAAAAAATTTGAACAGCAACTGAGAAATTATTCTCACTCAAATTCTATATTGAGTTACACCATTTTAGTTGCAATATTAATTTTGGCATAGAACATACCTAATTCTATATGACCTCAATTTTCCCTATTAAAAAGGTTGTAATACCTCAATGCATGTTATTGCCAAAGGAATACAGTTGTAAATGCTATCATGGATGAGACTGGAACTTGTGGAAAGGGTGAAAAAATAAAACATAGTAGCCCATTAATTATTTCATAGTTTCATGCAGAACTCAACAACTAGCCAAAGGAAAATATTTTTACATTTTCTTAATTATTTAGCTTTCTTCAGTGCCTTCACAATGACCTTAATACTTTGCATGACCATATACACAGAAATAGCTAATTATCCAGTAAACCTAATCCAAATGAGCAAGTAATTAATCTAGTCAACCGAATCTCATATTTTAAAGAAAACAGCTTGTTTCTGGATATCACAGCACTGATGTCCAGAAGCTTGAAAGAATCCTGCTTGAAAGACAAATACTGAAAATATAATTTAATAAGTACCCTGAGAATCCTTTTCATAATTAAACCACTGTCCAGAACCAAAGACTTCCAAGGTAACTAGCTGGAAGTACGAGGAAGAAGCCTGAAATCTGGAAGAGAGATCTACAATTTCCAAAACAAAGTTAGGAATTTGCCACCTAGAACTTCTGGAATGGTTAAGGCAAGCAAAGGCAAGGAGTTTAAGAAACTCTAACAGGACCAACTTTGGGAGCAACAGGACATGGGGAAAATCAGGGAGGAAATCAGTAAACAATTGAACAGAGTCTGAGCATGTAATATGCACAGAGACCAAACAGGTTACATTGAACAGGGAACCGTGTATTTATGCAGTCAGGAGCGAGACTATTTTTCCCTAAGAAAGGGTAGTTTTAATAAGGCATTTTAAGGCACTTGGTGACATCTATTAGACTTCTGCATGGTCAGAAATAATATCATCTGACTACATATCCTTTTGACAATTCTTTGAATTAAAAAAAAAAACTACTAAAATTCGCATCAGATTTTGATACTACCACTGTATTTTTTAATACAAACAAAACCAGTGTTCCCTTAACATTAAATAACAGTGAAGAGTTCAATTTAGTTCTTAATTGTGGTTGGGACAATTTCTTCACCAGCTGCTTTAAACCTCGCAATTTTATCCAACTGTTGAAGAAGATCTTCAGCTCACTCACCCTCTTCAAAGCCGTCCCGGAATGACCCAGAACGGCTCATTGCTCTGCTCTTTTCATCCAGTGACACCGAGCTGTTCCGGAACCGGGTGTCACTGTAAGGATCATAAGGGCCATCCGCATTAGAAAGACTGTGTGTCCGTAGCATGGTTGGATTTGACAAGCTCATCTGGGCTGCTGTGGTGGGACTTGCTGGAAAGTGAGTCAGACAGAAAATTCACAAATCTGTGCACATGTAACTATCAAAAGACATTCCATTACTATAATAATGTATCAGTGTCCAAAGATAATGGAACTCTCTGAAAATTCTTTCCTAGTAACTGATGGATTGAACAAATAGCCATACAAACGAAACTGATTCCAAGCTTGGCCATAGTGCGCAAATAAAAATTTCTGAACACTGTGGTCATATATGGACAGGGGAGGGTTTTCTGTAAACCTCAGAGAACCAGGTAGAAAAATTAGGAAAATGGTAAAGAAAATTTGGTATGTGTTATTATATTTATTTAGAAAATTTTGACTCCACCTTTCTGACCTCATTTGGGCCACCACGGCAGCCCTGAACAATTCTGAAAATGTAGCAAGTCACTTTATTGCATAGACAGATGTCAGAACACACACCCCCCCCGATGTATTGGGCTACCTAGTGACCCAAGACACCATGGAGAACATTTATTAAAAACTGGCCAGCTGGTAAGAAAAATCAAGCCTGATGACAGATTGGGATGAGAGAGGAAATGGGGCAGTTTCATGGGCTGGGGTGTGGTTAAAAATGGCTAATTTAGCAAATTGGAAAGGGGATTAAAACATGAAATTGGGAAACTGAGCATGGGTGGAGGGATCAAGAAAAGGAGACGACATGGAGATTGGGAGAAAAGGGCGAAACCAGTTTCCCTCTTGTGTGTCAAGACTACCTTCTGTGTAAGCGTGTGTCAAAACTTCATTTTACTTACTATTCACGTCTTCATCAGTTCTTTCAATACACAAAATATGCTGTTCTATGAAATTACTGCTTCAGCACAGTAGTCAGCAAAGTTAAACGGAAGCTGCAAGTTTCTACAAGATCTTAACTTGCATGCCTTGTCTATGAGTGTATGATTAGATTTTTCATATAGTAATTTTGTATTTTTTCTGGCAGATTGATCAAAAGGACTTAACAAATGACAAGGGTAAGAAAGAAGCCCGATAAAGGACCAATATTAAAAACGTAGTGTATAATTATTGCATACAAAAGTACATGTATTTATTAGACAAACAGTTAAAAATATATAAGGGCCCAATGTTTTTAAGTGTCTTTCTAATAAATACATGTATTTTTGTATATAATAATTATATGCTAGGTTTTTAATACTAGCCCTTTATCAGGCTTCTTTCTTACTCTTGTGGTTCTTGATTCCAGGTATTGGGTCAAGTTTGTTTTCCCCTCCCTGTGTCTTACCAAAAAGAATGGATTTTAAGAAGATACCAGATACATGTATTTTATTTGCAGTTAGAAATTATGTATTAATATATAATGAATACAAAAATACAAAAATCTGCTTCCATTATAGATTGCTAGCACTTCCTTTCTTAGGTTAAAATATTCGCTGAACTGGCTTTCCGTGATAGGAAAACTATACTGTGATCGCTGGACTCATGCATATCGTTCAGGTGGATTTTAAAAAGAACAATGCACATAAGAAATTCATGGTCCAAGAATCCTGAATATGAATGATCCAGCTGTTAAATAATAGGCTAAAAACTAAAGCCCCATAACACTAGCAGTGTTATATGGCTGAATAAACAGTTTGAGAGTACCTATTACCTGTTAATGGGACAAAAGCAGTTATTGTAACTTATGGAATACCATCTACATGAAGGCAACATCTCTTTGGTCACAGACACACATCTATGCACTTAATTCATCCAGTGCTGGCTCATGGCTGCTTGGGGCTCCATGGTGCCCCCGCAGAGGGGTGGCACTTTTGCCCTCATAACTCCATGGCTTTTTGGTCATCCTATGTCATCTTTAATTCAGGAAGAACGTGCTTATCTTCGGAAAGCACTGCCTTGCCCTTAACTATCTGGATGGGATGGAGCTTTCTCAGGATAGCCAAGTCCCTCTCCAATTACAACCGGGAGGGAGGGAGGAAGGTCAACAGTGGGAGGGCTTCTAATGTCCTGGCCCCACTGCTGGACCTCCTGATGGCACTGGTATTTCTGGCCACTGTGTGACACAGAGTGTTGGACTGGATGGGCCTTTGGCCTGATCCAACATTGGCGTCTCTTATGTTCTTATGTTCTTAAGAAGGAGCAAGAACAGCTGCCGGGAGCAGCTATGCTAAGACATGAAGCTTTTTTAAAATGTAAGAAATTGCCAGTAAGTCCTGTGCATCACCTCTTCTTTCAGAATGTTTGCTTTCTCTGCTTCTTATCCCTGCTGTAGTGAAGATGGCAGCCTCCGGAGCCAGGCTGGTTGTGACAGGCAAGAGAGTGTATAGGTACAGCACCTTCACACTAGATGCAGAGAGCCCACTTGATGGCACAAGTATATATAGCCCGACTATCTTATGTTGATGATCACAGTAAACTTGCAAAGAAACTGGCATAAAATAGATTCAAGTCCAGTAGCTCATTAAACACCAGCAAAACTCCAGGGTATAACCTTTTGAGAGTACTCCAATTACAACCGGGAGGAAGAAGGAGCCAGAACAGCTGCCGGGAGCAGCTACGCTAAGACATGAAGCTTTTTTTAAATGTAAGAAATTGCCAGTAAGTCCTGTGCATCACCTCTTCTTTCAGAATGTTTGCTTTCTCTGCTTCTTATCCCTGCTGTAGTGAAGATGGCAGCCTCCGGAGCCAGGCTGGTTGTGACAGGCAAGAGAGTGTATAGGTACAGCACCTTCACACTAGATGCAGAGAGCCCACTTGATGGCACAAGTATATATAGCCCGACTATCTTATGTTGATGATCACAGTAAACTTGCAAAGAAACTGGCATAAAATAGATTCAAGTCCAGTAGCTCATTAAACACCAGCAAAACTCCAGGGTATAACCTTTTGAGAGTCAAAACTCCCTTCGTCAAAACTCCCTTGAGATACTCTCAAAAGCTTATAACCTGGGAATCTTGTTGGTCTTTAAGGTGCTATTGGACTCAAAACTTGCTCTTCTACTGCAGACCAACACAGCTTCCCACGTAAACTGGCATTGAAGAAACCCTCATTTGCTGATCCTCCCACAAGCAGCTTCGGTGTAAAATTAATGCCATTTCTTATTGGCTGCTTCCGAGTCCAGTTTACTCAGATTAAAGAAGCCAGCCAGGGTCTGTAATGGAAGATTTGGGAGATGGGAAATGGAGTTGCAGAGATAGGAAATGGGTTCTTTCAAACTTCTATACACACTTTAACTTACTAATAGAAGACCTAAATCAGGGATGTCAAACTCATTTGTTACGAGGGCCGGTCTGACATAACAAAAGTCGGGCTGGGCCATGTGTGCCATAAAACACAATGCCAGGTGCTGTATAAAGGACAGCAGCTGGTAAGCTCCAGGTTGGTGTATCCTCACTGCAAGGCCCCATGGGATGGGAAGGGGGTGCAAAGGAAAACCTACATACGCAGACTGGAGAGGCAGCAGAGCAGCGATGGGCACATGCTCCCATGATGCATTACTGCTGCAGATGAGGTTGTTCTGCCATGCTGAAGCCACAATGGAGTGGCTCTACCTACTCCACCCCCAGCACTCCCTCACTTGCACCAGTTGCTTGCGGGCTGCATAAGAGCCCTTGATGGGCCAGTTCTGGCCCCCGGGCCTTATGTTTGACACCCTTGACCTGTCAAGTTGTTTTTAAAAAATACAACTAAGTGCATGTTCTTTTCTGCCCTGATGCAGCCAGAGTTGAACACAAACTCCTTGGCTAAGCCCTGGGAAAAAATAAGTAATTGATTCCAGTGGGATCACCATGTGAGTCTGTTGTAGCAAATCCAAAAAGGAGTTTTGCCCCACCTTACAGGATAACAGATTTATTGTATTTTTATTTATTTATTCATTCACAGGATTTATAATCCCGCCTTTCTCACCAAGACTCAAAGTTGAATACACAATGTAAGACAAGTACAGTAAACAGGATAAGACATTTAATGAACAATGCATAAGATTTGGATTGCAGAACCCCGAAAACAAACAGAAATCTGAAAAGTAACCTGAAACAAAGCTTAAGCATTAACATGACACATTAAATAATGCAGAAATTACATAATAGGATCATACTTAAAACAATAGATAATACATACTATACACAGTGGTACAGTCCACAGTCTCTATACATTTACCAAAGCATCTTTCTGAAACACATCTGTCTGAAACACAGGCCCAAATACCTGTATAAACAAGCCCTCTGGGGAGTGAGAGGAACGCATGGGGGCCCTGTGCTCCAGCCCACTCTCCAGCTGCCCAAGGTGCACCAGCTGGGCGAGGTCCCTCCAGGCTCTGGCCTGCCTGTGCCCCTTTACAAGTCGAAGTGCACCTGGATTACCGAGTGGAGGACAAAGGCACCGTCTGGGTGGCCGGATGGCTTGGGTAGGCGCAGGACAAAGTCAGCGGGAGAAGGAGGAGGACTGGCAGTGCTGTCCAGTAAGACCCAATCTGGAAAGACCCAGGCTGCGGGAGAGGAATCTGCGTGGCTTTGTGGTGCCCCTCCAGCAATCACCGCTTCAGCAAGAGACACCCCGGGCACGCTGGCCCAGGATCACCCAGTGAGGTTCATGGGACTGGGGGGGGGGGTTGAATTTGTCCTAGTCCCCAATCCTAGTCCAGTACTCTAGCTACTACATCTCAGTGACTCCACTACGAAATGGTAATAGTTACTCGCTTTTTCAAAAGTCAGATTTCTATGCAGAATCCTCTACATTAACTCTGGGGAATTATACAGGTGCATGGGATGGTAGTTCAAAGCTGTCACGGGAAATGGTGGCTCCCATATCACCTTTTTACATCTGGCGATTCTCCCACATTCCTAGTAGACTGGCAAGAAATTTGCTCAGGCTTGAAGGTTAAGTGCATTGAATTGGATGAGGCTTCAGGGTGTGTCAGGCTATAAATTCAAAATAATCATCACAAAAAGCTCAAGACATTCCTTAAAAGCTCCCATGAAAACAAGCCCTCCTGAATAATTAAGTTTTGTGCTGTCTGCGGAAAGCCAGGAGAATGGGACCTCATTGGGCCACTCCATAAGGTAGGGGCCACTACAGAGAATGCACTAGAGAGAATGCACTAGAGAGAATGCACTTCACCATATGATGATACTACTAAGTCCATTTACTCCAACAACCCTCTTTCAGATCATCAAGCTAGCACTGCATGGTCTTTCTGATCCTTCCTCTTGATACTTTTCCTGCCACATTTTGAAACTGGTGTTCATGATTTGTCTCCTTGTTTTCACACCTGCCTAAAGATTCACTGGTTTGACTTAACTCTTCTCACTACATGGTCAAATGTAGCCTTCTTCATTAATAACCACTTAATAATAAAAAAAAAGCTTGGGGAACTGTGAAAATTCTATCCTGAGAAATGAAAATTAAAAGGAATTGTAATGATATTGGAAGATGACTTAGCTAAACAACTCCTTTGTTCACTATGATATTAAAAGATATTCATGTAAGCGAATACAGTGGTATGGGTCATTTTTTGGAGGCAGAAAAAAATTCACTGTGCTGTTTTTGGAGGCAGAAAAAAATTCACTGTGCTGTTACTTTTAACAAAGGCTTCATGGGTTTCTGATTATAAGACCATAAGAACAAAAGAGAAGCTATGTTGGATCAAGCCAATGGCTCATCCAGTCCAACACTCTGTGTGTATTATAATACACAAATAGTTCACTCACCAAGTTGGGAGAAGTTAAATCTAGTGCCAGAAGGTGATGTTATGCTGGAACCAGAAGAAAATGGAGAATTGACAACAGTATCCTGAAGACCTCCTGCAGAGTGTGAACGCAGCCATTCTTTTGCCTCTTCTTGATTACGAAGTTGTGATGACGGAGTGTACCTGCACAAACAGTGTTAACTTTAGTCTTTGCTTAAGACTGTTTTGCCTGAATAAAGTCCAAAACCATCCGTACAGAAAACAACAGTGTACCTGAAACAAGTCTCCTGCCTGCCAGAGGACGCCTGTACCTCTTGACTTGTACCAATACAAGGAAATGAAGGGCAGGACCTTGGGAACCAGATCTCATGCACATCTGCAAACTTCATTTATTCTGAATATATAGCAGGAGTACTTCAGGAGCGTGCATTCTTTTGCCAAATTTAATTGGTTACCTTGCTTCATTTGACTATGCTCATGAGTTACCTGCAGATTTCTTTGAAATCTAACTCTCAGCATCATTATCTGTCTGATTTTTTAAAATGCAGGTCTGAGGGATCCTTGGTAAAAAGTCATACTGACACAAACAGGGATATTCTATTTGCTTATGACTTATGGGTCTATGAACAATAAAAATGAATGGAAATGAAATGGACACAAACGGGTACAAAGTGAATTTTTCAGATGTGAATTTTCAAATATCTAGAGATGACTAAAGTCAGACCAGCCTTATAAATAGCTAAGGGGTAGCAGTATTAATCTGTCATAACAAAACAAAACAAAAGTCAAGTGGCACCCTAAAGACTAACATTTCTTTCAATACGAGCTTTTGTGAGTCGAAGCTCATAGTGAAATAAATGTTATTAGTCTTTCAGGTGAAATGGACTGTTGTTTTATAATAAACAGTTACTCAAATATTGCCTGTAGCAAATAATAGCTATCTCTTGATAACCAAGCAAGGATGTTTTGGTTGGCTATTTTTTCCCCCTTTTCAGGCTACCTTTGCATTGGTATTTGCAGGCAGACATGCTAATACCATCCAGATACTTCTTTAGGCCTATTGGCAAGTGCAAACAGCACTTGCACAAATGGATCAGAAAGTGTGGGAAAAGCAAATGTAGACACACATACAAACCTATGGGTTCCAGATCACAATAATTACCATCATTTGCTAATCAAATTGTTTAGGTGATTAAACATACAAGACTCTTCAAAGGGCTTGGAACTACTACCTTCCTCTTCAAATCATCAGCCCTGAATTCCCACTATTTGTTTTTGAAATAAATAAAATAAAAGTTTGGAGCCCTACACAGGTACACAATTGTTGATCAATATGCAAAAGAACAAAGTACAAATACTTACCGCTTTGACATTCAAAGGTTTCAAGGGTAAGAAATGGCATTTCTCATTAGCTGGAGACACTAACAGGCACAAAAAACATTTCAGACCTCCCAGCTAACCCCCCCCCCCACCAATTTTACAAAAAGTTTTGAATTCCCAGCTCAGTGTGACAATTGTAGTAGCTACAAAGAATGTGTTTATAACACAGAATAAATTGCAGCTATAATGTAAAGCCAAGAGTTATCCTAAAAAGTCCCACAATTGAGTTGGAAGTAGATGCGTTTTTAAGTCAACAAAAAGTCAGTGTTTTAAGTTAGCTTTCTGTATAATTGGTTGAGCACTTTGCACATGTGTGAAGGGATACATGATTATCAATAGAAGGAAACTCTATTCTCAGTGTAATTTCTCTTGAAGTCAGATTACACTGTAAGTATTATAAGCAAATATTTATGGAGCTCTTGCTTTATTGACTGGATTTTTGTTTGTTTTTTAAACACAGTTACAGCGCCAACAACGTTTTAGCAAAATTTGGACTGCTAATGCCTTTGTATTCCGTTTTATCTGTATTTTGGATATTACACTGTGAATATTACATCATCCAGTTTATTGCTTTGTTCTATAAAGCTGCAAATTATTGCTTGCAAATCAAGCCCAGTGATGCTCCATGAGATGCTTTTTGAAGAGTCAGCCAGCAACAGCCACAACTCCTGCTCAGGGTGAGATGCTACCATATGAAGAGAAGTGTGTGGGGAAGGGACGAGAGAAATAACCTGTTTCAGAGAGGCTGATGGGGGAAAGGAGGAAAGGGAGGACATTTTTCTGCCACTCATTGCAAAAGCTGAAACCACCACCACCATCACCATCACTGACGGCCACAAAAGACACACAAAGCAAAGCTCCAAAAACCACACGGAAAAACTGCTTATGCTATGTGGAAACACCAATACCTGAGTCCTTTCTTAGGCAAAGTGTTCCTATCAAGGTGAGGGTCGCTGCAGAAAAGTTAAAAGAAAAGAACTTCAGAGAAGAACAAGAGGGGAGGATTAAAGATCAGCTTGAAAGAGAGGGTAATTTGCTATTTAAACGGCTGCATCATGGCACTAGAAAAGACAGCAAAGGCTCCTGTCAAGCCAACATGCAAAAGTCTCATAAAAGCGAGGACTGCGTTATACAGAACATGCACAAGGAACCATGCTAAAAGAAGGAAGCCTACTTCTGAGGCTTTTACCCTCAAACCACTCAGCTAGTAGTTAGTCCTTTTCTGGTGGCAGTAAAGCAACTGAAGTTTGAGATCAAAGTGATCTTGCTATTTTCCTTCCAGAAAACAGCTCTTTGCCCAAATGTGCATCCTTCAAATGAATGCCTTTAAAACATACGTATGCATAAACAAGCATCCGAGGCACTGTTTCTAATGACAGTGCTACCAAGATGCTTTCAAAATTCTTCATTAGTAAAAATAATTGGCCAGCATCAAAGCCAGCTCATCTACTAGGTGGTTCTAGGAAACGACCTAGAGTTCCAGGTGGAAGAGAGCTTTCCAGCACTCTTGGCAGCTATAGTGAGCCTGCTGTCTACTTCCCTTGCTGTGGTGGTGGTGGGGTGTGAGGAGGATGCTTAGCTCCTCTGCCATGGGGGGGGGGAAGGAGTATGGGCAGCAGCTCCTTGCCATGCCCGGGAGGGAGGGCAAGCCGTCACTTAGTGTGCCAGCTCTGGCATGCATTTTGAAAGCCTAAAGGGGTTACATGTTAAATGGTGAATGAACAGACACATGGACCATTTATGAGTAACATTTCCATTTCCAGGGAAATAAGGGCATCATTTAGAAAGAAAGAAAGTACAGGAGCACCTATATTTCTCTCTCACTGGAATGACTATGGGCCTGGGTGTGTGCTAGGAATCCCTGCCAAAGACACCAAGTACTTTCTCAAAAAAGGTGTGTAGCTGAGTATGAAACAAAGGATGACTGATGATATCACTGCTATATATCATGAGGCATTAAAAGCCAATAATAACAAATGGTCTTAAAATACATGTTTTTTTAAATTTTATCTTGAATATATCAAGAGTGAACATTTAAATCTTGCTGAGACACCCCCCAATAGCTTTTCACCTCTCCCCAGTGAAATATGAAATAACACCCCAGTAGGGGAAGTATGGAATAACAGTATTAATGTATAGCCAAGCTGTCCTAACATCACTAACAATTGCTAGAGGTCAGGTAAATTTATCACTGACACTTCTGATGCATTTGGCTTTGACCCTTCTTTTTCCTAACACTGCATTCCACTTGCATTCATGTTTACAAGAACACACACAAAAAGCCTGCAAGACACCAACAAGCCAAACTGAACTGAGCAATTTAAATTATAACAGGAAATATACTTCTTCAGCCACAATGGGTTGGGAGTGGGGGCGAGAAATCTAGACATGGTGATATGACCTAAAACGTGGGGGGAGAGCAGCATGCTATCAGAATGCTGAAATGCCAATGAGAGTTTAAAATGACCAACGAAACTGGAGAACTTTGAAATCATTTATTTATTTTTAGAACTTTCTCAGAGCTTCCATTTGCCATTCTCCATAGTAAACTAGGATACAATCCATTTAACGGACTCTCACTGGCATGTCTTTGAGTGATCGTTTACACTCAAGTAAAACACACACACACTCTTCACTGAGCACAGTCTTGCACAAAACACTCTGGCATCTTAAATTTTGCCAGTGAACCCTCTTGGCCCTTCCGCAGCCTACTGTCTCAAGACAGCATTACCTGTCCTGCCTCCTGGGTAAGGTATTTCGGCAGAATTTGGGACTAGCAGCAGGGGAAGAGAGAGGGCTAGAAGAGTAAAGATCAACAAGACAGAAAAACAAAACAACAACAAGAAGAGAGGAATATTAGCACAAAAGGAAAGAGAGAAAGGGAAAGAAAGCTGTTAAAAAAAAGTAAAACTTATCAGGAGTTTTCAACAGCTGTTTTATATTATGAGGCCGCAACAAATTAGAAGGTTCCAGCAGTGGAGTAACTTTATATGGTTGGGTCAAGCAAGCTTCAAAAGGTCTGAAAAGAGGTTACACTCCTGTGGTTTGAGTTAGTTCCAACATTTGTTGCTGCTGTTTCATAACCAAACAGAAAGTGGCTGCACAAAATGAGCGGGGTGGCACCACTTTTCATGGGAATTTACATGCTGCAGGGATCCTGAACAACAGGGTAGGTTGTCACTGCACTGGAGATCCATGACCGCAGAACAAAGTCAGCTGATCTGGTGTCCCTAGGCAGGTCCAATAGCCTGAGCAACTCATATAAAGATGCCGTTCCAACATCAAAACATTCACATGAAGTACAGATACTAGGACTGAGGATTTATCCTTAGAAGCATCAATTAAGTTAAATATGGCTAAGATCTGAGCAACTATATCTAACTACTTCAGGGATAGTTGTGGAGGGCACAGAACCATCACAGAACAGCCAGTGTGGTGCAAACGCTTAGATCAAAATACCACCCTAATCCCAGTGTGGGAAAGAACCAACCTGCAAGAACCATTATGCAGATGACCTAACACAGGGTTAGAAATTCGCTGAATGTAGTAATATGGCAGACTACTAGTATAATAGTATTAAAACAAAAAAATCAGTAATACAAGTAAAATACATGTTTTTTACAAAAGTGTTTCTTAGACATTTTGTCTTTGTTTTGAACTGGTAGCCCTATCTAACCAGCACCTTGTCACTAACCAGCTCAAGCTGACAAGTAAAAACAATTAAGGTACTTCAATTGCTCTCACAAAAACAATGCATAAAAATGATGAAAAAATTAAAGGGTCCTGTTCACTGAATATGGAAGATGGGGGAAAATAAATGGCAATAATTAGTATTTTGTAGTATTTCATAGACTTTTCTAAGTGATCGTTGCAACAGTAAGTCTAGATTACTATCTTCATATTGAAAAAGGAGGGTATAACTTACCTAGGATCATAAGAAAAAAAGTTCATCACCAGTCTTCAAAACAACAAAGAGATGACCCTCAAGAGAGGCGCTAAAAAGTTATTCAGTTATTCCCAGTTATCTTGCCTAATGAATTTCAAATCTTACATAGGTGTGTCATCATTTGTCAACTTTTTGTGTCCTAGATAAGGATATTCCCTCAAAAGGAAATGAAACTCCTTGTTTAGGTGACAATAAGTGACCAGTTATTTCCCTGTCAAGTCTCCTGCAACCTACTTTGTTCAACACCTTTGTAGATTCACCTCTTTGGTTGCTGTGCTCACCTAAGATCATCTAGCTACTGATATGAAATTTAAGTCACCAAATTCCCAACACACAGTCACATCCTCAGCTTTGATCTCTACTTAATTACAAATGATACTGCTTCATTAGCCAAGTATTAAAAAGTTTTGCGTATTGTAATCAATCAAGAGGCAGAATGGAATGTCCACTCTGGCTGCTGCACATGGGGAGCTGTAGGGTTTACTACAGGTCAACAGGGAATAAACTAGCCACATTCTGTACATAATATATATAAAATCCATTATTTGCTGCAGTTCTCAAGGGCATCCGGTGGCCAGGCACAGGACTCAAACAATAACAATCATTTATGTCCATTAGATTGCAGTCCCGAATAGTAATTGAACACAGTGGGTTTAGGACTGAGCTACTGGTTACAGAAACCATCTGTCAGTACAAAGAATATATATATTTTAATTGTCTTGCAAAAAAAATTTTCTCACCTTTCTGACAATGTCGTCTTAACACTGTTGGTTCTAACAAAGGGAGTCAATGAGTCGTCCTTAGAAGCTGCCATCAGGCCACTGGAAGAGTTATGGCTCAGCCCACCTCCACTGCTGAGAGATATATCAATGGATTCACAACTGGTATGCAGGCTGCTGACAGACTGGTATCCAATGCCATCTTTGCTAATGGCAGAAGAGCTACTGGCATTAGTACCCCAGGTTAAGCTGTTGGAAGGAGCCGAATGAGCTGAACTGGGACTAGATGCTAGTGGAGACGGGTTCATGTCTATATTTTTACTGTAAAGGGGACTACTACTGCCACTGCTCAGAATGCCACTGCCCGAAGGAGAATCTGGGTTCCCCTGCTGATTCATGGTTGCGTGTGGGTTGGAGATGACCACGGAATTTTTCATGCTTTCTGCCGTTGTGATGGGAGCTTGTTTACTTGGCTTTCCACCGAAAAGTCTGGAGGAGAAAAAACAAAACACGTGCTGAAAACTGGTGAAGCTGAATGCAATGCAAGATTTCAGACTTCTATAGTATCTTATCTGTCTCTAACATATGTGACAAAACCCTCTGCTGAAAAAGGACACTAAGTTTTAACTAGATATATCAGAGATTATATTCTTCTGATTTGTGCTATAGGTACATAACCACCCAGCATAACACGCATACATGAATGGGCAAACTGGTTTCTATGTGATAAGTGAGAACAGTGGACAGATTTATACAAATTATATGTGATGAGCTCTACCTTTCCGTCTCCCAGACCCAATACCATTCTAACAGTCATTAAAAGCAAGAACAATCCACAATCCCCCCACTATTTCTTTTTTCATTTCACAACTGTGAAAACACATATTTATTCTCATTTCACCATTTTATGTACCCTCATTCATGTTCACGACAGGTGAACCAGCACATCTTTGAATGGAGGGGTGGTGTACTGTGCATATTTGGTTTTACCTTGGAACTAGAAAAAACATTTACCAACAAAAATCTGTGACAGCTGTGTTTTAGCAAATGAAATATGCAGCACTTGATGTGGTCAGACACCGTTAAATGTTTGGACTTTCAAAAGGCTTTTGACAGGGGACATAGCCAAAGACTCCTGAGTAAATTCAGCAGGCATGGAAAAAGAGGATGGGGTTCTCTTATGGATCAAAAATTGGTTAAAGGACAGGAAGCAAAGAGTTGGAATAAATGGACAGTTTTCACAATGGAGGGAAGTAAGCAGTGGGATCACGCAAGGATCAGTATTGGGGCCAGTGGCTCAAGTGGTTAAGACGCTGAACTGCAGGCTATGGAAGGTTGGTAGTTCAGCAGTTTGAGACCTGAGTGTGCTGCATGACGGAGTGGGCTCCCGTCTCTAGTTCCAGCTCCTGCCAACCTAGCAGTTCGAAAGCAAGAAATTGCAAGTAGATAAATAGGTACCACTTCAGTGGGAAGGTAACAGCGTTCCGTGCGCCTTGGTGTTTAGTCATGCCGGCCACATGACCACGGAAACGTCTTCGGACAGCACTGGCTCTTCGGCTTTGAAACGGAGATGAGCACCGCAACCCTAGAGTCGGATTCGACTGGCTTTCGAGCGAGGGAACCTTTACCTTTACTATATAATACATTCATTATATGATCTGGAACTAGGGGAGAGGAGTGTAGTGGCCAAATTTGCAGATGACACAAAATTATTCAGGAAAACCAAGGTTGACAGGGAGGAGCTCCAAGATGACCTCCAAAAACTGGGGGAGGGGTGACAATGTGGCAAATGAAGTTCAGTGTTGGTAAATTTAAGGTGATGTATGTTGGGACAAAAATCCCAACTTCAGGTATAGGCTAATGGGGTCTGAACATGTTGAGACTGAGAGGGAATAAGATCTTGGGGTCGTAGTGGACAGCTCAATGAAAGTGTCAACTCGGTGTGCTGCGGCAGTGAAAAAGGCAAACTCTATGTTAGGGATTATTAGGAAAAGGATTGAGAATAAAACGGCCAATATTCTAACAGATCTACGGTGCCGCCTCCTTTGGAATACTGCATACAGTCCTAGTCACCGTCTCTCAAAAAAGACACTGCAGAGCTGGAAAAAGTCCAGAGGAGGGTGACCAAGGTGATTAAGGGGTTGGACCACCTTTCCCTATGAGGAAAAGCTGAAGAGCCTGGGACTTTTCAGTTTAGAAAAGAGATGACTAAAGGGGGGCATGATAGAGATTCAAAAATTATGCATGAGGTGGAGAGAGCTGACTAAGAGAACTTTTTCTCCCTCTCCCAAATACTAGAACTCAAGGGCATCCAGTGAAGCTGATGGATAGTAGATTCAGGACAGACAAAAGGAAGTAGCTTTTTACACAGTGAGTGATTAAAATGTGGAATTACAGGAATAAACAGCTTTGAAAGGGGATTAAACAGATTCACGGAGGACAAGTCTTTCAGTGGCTAGCAGCCACGGTGACTGACGAATAAACCTCTGAATTCCAGAGCCAGGAAGCAACATCAGAGGAAGGTCTCGGCCTCTATGCCCTGTTGTTGGCCCTCCAGAGGAATTGGCTGGTTGCTGTGTGAGACAGGATGCTGGTCTAGATGGACCACTGGTCTGATTCAGCAGGGCTCTTCTTATGTTCTTAATGTGTCTTTCTCCATGCTCCCATGGCAAAAGTCAAAATGCAAATCTAATTTTTCAGAATTTTTCCAGTACAAAGAGGTAACTATGGATTTTTTACTGGCTAAAGCCTCCCAAAGCATACTGTTTGAGATCCAAAGACTTCAAAGTGTGCAGGCCTATCCACATGTGACCCCCTCCCTGGCTTTTAAACTCCATCTGAAGCAAAGTTCTAATAAATGAGTAGTACATACCTGCGTAGAGTGGGGGAGGCCACATCTGGGTACTTGACTCCTTGCTGGTGAGCACTCTGGGATGCACTGGAAGCTGCCTGAGATGCGGGGGTGACTTTAACGGAGTTACAAGAGACCACACTTTCATTGTCCGATGAGATTCCTTTTTCTTTATCTGTTTGGTTGACTAAGCCTGGCAGAGAACTTCCGAGGGCAACTTTTGCTGGCTCTCGCATTTTGGGAACAGGCAAGCCTGCTGACTTGCTGCTTATGTTAGAATCTATGCTGCTGGTGCTAGATCTATTACCAGCTCCACTTCTGCTGCTGGATTTGCTTGGCCTAGGTAAGCTTCGGTACTGAAGATTGGTTCGGGTATTAAGGGCTAAGTAACCATCATCCTGATTCTGTGAGCCATCAACACTAGTCTTCCGACCAGTTGATCTACCCATAAGTCCAGATGACTTGGGGATTTTGCCAAGAGTAGCAGATCTACTTGTGATAGTTGCACCACTGGCTGTGATCATGGACATTCCTAAAGCTGACCCACTCTGTTTTTTAAATCCAAACGTATTTGTATTGGCAGCAGCTGTTCTAGAGTTGTTTGCAGGAGGTTTTTTTGATTCATCACCACTGCTACGTCCTGCATCTGATGGAGAACGTTTAACATGTCCAGATTTAGGAGAAATTCTACCCTTTTCTGATACCTTGGCATCGTCAGTTTTCCCTACAAAAACAGGAAAACAAGTTGCAGTATTTGATGACGTCAAGTATTACAGAAACGGTACAAAACCCTTAAGCTTAAGTGCATGAGCCATAAGAGAATGTGAGAGAATTTTGATCCTGCTTAACTAAACTAGTTACACAATCAAGAACGGTATACAAGGATATGTTAGAAGAAATTGATACATTTAATCCTGGAACTTGAACAGGTGAACAGATTGCTATGTAAGCAATGAAAGAACCAGAGAAACAAGCCTCAGTATTTAAAAGGAAACTGTCCTAGCTAATTAGTGGAGCATAAATTCCCAGGTTCAATCTCTGACAATCACAGGAAGCAGCTGTGGGGAAAAACCTTTCTCTTCCCGAGAAAGCCACTGCCACTCAGAGTAGGAAACATGGAGGAAGATGGACAAACAGACTGATTTTGTATGGAGGCCGTGTTGGGATGGTTGAGGCAGAGTCGGCTGAAACTGAATCCATCTAAGATGGACGTTTTGTGCCTGGGTCAGGGGGCTTCTGGGTTGGGATCCAACTCCTGGCTCTGGATGGTGTACCACTGAGTGTGCTCCTGGATGCCTCCTTAACGATGAAGGCCCAGATCACAACTGTTGCCAGACTGGCATTTCTCCAGCTGCACCAGACTAGGCAACAGGCCCCCTACCTGTCTCGCCCCAACCTAGCCACAGTAATCCACGCAACAGTCACCTCCAGGCTAGACTACTGTAACTCGCTCTATGCAGGGCTACCCTTGAGACTGACTCGGAAATTACAACTGGTCCAGAATGCAGTGGCCTGGGTCCTTACTGGGACCCCACTAACAGCGCATATCCAACCCGTGCTGCACCAGCTGCACTGGCTTCAGGTTGAATACTGGATCAAGTTAAAGGTCCTGGTATTAAGCTTTAAGGCCCTAAACGGTCTGGGGCCAATGTAGGAATTTATCTAGAGCAGAAAGGGAAGGATTATGGGCTCTTCCATTCCTAAAAGAAGAAGCAGGACAACAGTGGAGAATTTGAACATATTATCTATTTCTACCCCATCTGTAGTTTGCTTATAACAGTTCTGGGGACATGAAACTTCCTTTTGCATTGTCTACAACTTCCCCCAAAATAACGCTCTGTTGTTTGGGAAAATAAATTTCCCCACACATCCTCTCTCTACTGCAGAAAGTACAGCTACTAAATGGAAACACGGTCCTACTAGTCTTCTGTAATAATGAAATGCTCCCTTTCCTTCTACCATGGCATTTGCTAACTTGTGCACATGATCTTCTTCTGACCATATTAATTTGCAATAGGAAATGTTGTTAAGGAAGCTATCATAGCAGAGAGGATCTGATTCTTACGAGGGGGTAGTGCATATAGAGCTCTAGTCACATTTTCTAGTTAGATCTGTTTTTTTAACCAGCTTGCTTCATCCAAGCATTGTAAAGAACCTTTTAGATTTCAGATTTCTGTGAGGTTTCTAGAAAATACAACATTTCTGTTTAACACATACACTAATTCAAGCAGTCTTCCAGCCACACAAAGAATATTGAGTCCACTTCAGTGTTGGCAGGAACTCTTCAATTTGGCACAGGTACACAAAAGCAGAGATTTATTACAGTGTTCACCATCAAAGACAAACATAGATCAAAATGCAGTTGAAATCCTGACAGTTCAGAGGAAATTTTTCTCCTAACTTCACAAACTCTTGGTCTGGATTACTCGCCTCTTGGCTGTACATTCCTCACCTGTTCCAGGTGTCTTCAAAGTTCCTGAGGTGGCTGACGTTTTTGTCCTTGGTGCGGTAATGCCAACTTGAGCTGACATGCCCCGTCTCCAGGAGCCTGTCTGTGAAATGACTGTATTCTTCCTCCCAGAAGTGCTTTTATCAGATTCATCAGACACATCAGAGGGATTCCGTCTCCACTTAGAGCCAGGCTCCATTTTCACACCACTGTCTGAGCCCCCATCTGATTTCTTGATTTCGTCACCAGACCACAAGGAATTCCGCTCTACCTGGGAATGCTTTTCAGCATCCGTCTGAGGGGAAAGAGAAAATAAAAAAACTTCCACTGTAAACTTTCTCCTTCCTCTAAAATCCAGAACCTAGATCTCCTAGGCCGCCTTGAAGATTTCACTGATTGTTTAAAGATTACAGTGCAGCAACCTTTCCAGAAAAAAAGTCCCCAAGCAAATAATGATTAAACTGAACTGTATTACCCCTATTTAATTTCCAATACTTACAAGAGTAAAACCATAACTAACCAAAGGCATAAAACAGGATGAAGGCAAGGTGAAAAATAAAATGATGCATCGAAAGCCGTGTAGCTTCTTCAGCCGTACATTCCACACAATACCTTTCTCTGCAAAGCATAAAATCACTTCTATTGGGTGCTGTGGGCTTTCCCTTTGTTCTGTCTCCCTTCCTATCTCTTTCCTGGCAATCTGATCCGTGGAGCATGAAGAGGCAGGTTGTTTTTTGAAAGACTGAAAGATAATCAAGTGCTTTTTGTTTCAGCCTCACACTAACTTTATCATCAGTTTGAGGTGAGATTTTCAGAAATGGCAAAGCTTCACATCTCCTGCTGACTAAATTTAAATTTGTGATTACCTAGAATCACTTAAAGAAAAACCAGTTTATTTAAATCACCAGAACTGAATTTCTCTCCCTTTGCTCCAGACTGGTGTCATTAGTTTTGTTCTTCAAGTACTACAGTGCTAATTTTTCTCCAGTGGTTACTATGTAAGCAGCCCTTTGCTGGGCAGTTGTTCTGTATCTGAACTCTTTTGTTTCACTTGCTCTGGCTTCATGATTCATCTGAAATGATTTGCAATTCAAATTTCACACACTGAGACTCATTTACAAATGCCAAAAGTAACAGAAAAAGCTGTGAATCTACTATACCTGTGTATCTATACAGCTATCTGAACCAAAAACAAAAGATGCTGGAGAATCTACATCCTTGTGCATTATTTATTTCCTGTCCTATACATTCATCATTTGCTTACATTTAGAGAAGTAAAAATGTTATTTAAAGGACCACATAGCCACATTTTTTGCATTGAACATCAAAGGCTTGCTTGAGTAAATTAAAAAACTGACTCTTTAAATGCTAATTCTTTGTCCAATTTCAACTTAGTGAACACACATTTGGGGCGCTTTGTGAGAAGGGAATGCTAGAGGGGAGTGATCTGGTGTGTGTGTGTGAGGAAGGCTCCACTACACCCTTCTTTCTAGAAACAGAAATTTTAAAAGGGAGTTGGGCAAAACTCTGAGCTTCATAAGATGTCTACTCTCCCTAAACAATGAAACAATAAAGCCATTAAGAATGCCTGTCCATGTGGCTCACAGGGATCAGAGCATTCCTAAGAAATGCTCGATATGTTACCAAACTCTATCATCTGTTTCGGGGAAGAGGCAACAAATGCAAACATCATGGAACAAATAAAACAAAAAAATGACAATAAATAATAATTAATGGGGGTGGCAAGTATCCAGCAATCATATTGATGGCAAGCACAATGTAACGATTAGAGTGTCAGACTAGGATCTGAAAGACCAGGGTTTGAATCCTCACTCTGCCATGGAAGCTCATTGGGTGACCCTGGACCAGTCACACACTCTCAGCCCAGCCAACCTCACAGTCTACTTCAGAGGGTTGTTGTGATGATAAAATGGAGGAGGGGAGAACACTGTAAGCCACTCTCGGTTTCCACTGGGGGGGAAGGCAGAGTATAAGTGAAGTTATATTGAAAATTGCGTGTCCTTGGACATTCTATACTCAATGACCATTATGAGTTTTTTAAAAGAGAATATGTAGCTGGAAGTCAGATACAAAGTTGTTCTGGGAAAGCCTTCCACTGGTTTCCTGTGCATTATACTCTTCCCCATCACGTCCCAACATGGACCCCTTGACCTCAACAGCACAACCATGAAAATGATGCAAATTGAATAAGTGTATGCACATTTACACAACTGAGTTAACACATTTTGGTTAAACTAGGGTTCAGAATACAGACTTTGGACTGTATTTTGGTAGGAAAGCCAGATGGCACAGCCTCATGGACACAAGCTATAGCCTGATGAGTCACAAGCAAAGCACATAACAAGACTGAAAATGTTATTATGCAAATCTGTCCATATTATATAAATCTATCATACTTATTTAATTTTTCTTTGACGGAATATTTTTTAAAAAATTAGTACAGCATAATTATCTATTTATTTAAAATATTTAGCCTCATCTGTTTCAACTCAAGGTGGCTAACAAGCAGCAGTAGCTGAAAGGATACAGAAACAATTGTGCCTAGTAAGGACTGAAAATAAATACAGAGTTAAAAATGTATAAAAATGTATTTATTTACTTCATTATACCCTTTCTCCCCAATGGTAACCCTAAGCAGCCTACATTGTTCTACTCTCTTCCATTTTATCCCCACAATAAACCTATGAGTTGGTTAGGTTGTGTGTGTGTGACTGGCCCAAGGGTTGTGACTGGGCTGGCTCAGCAAGCAGCTGCCTCAGGCCACTCAGTCCAGGAGACGGGAGGTGGGGCCAGGCACACAGGTTAAGCCAGCAGCACCAGGCGCCTTGCTCTCCTATGGGCCACTGAGGCTGAGGGCCTTGGCTAGTAAGGAGGCAGGTCGTGGCAAGACTGGGTAAGGGACAACCCCAGAAGGAGGGTCATTGGCAAAGGCCCCTGTAACTCCCCAGACTCCAGCCCCTGCTCTCAGTGCACTGGAGGAGACTGAGACTAGCACTCTCCAGGGAACCTTTATCAGTTGGGCCCAGGAAAGGCCAGGGAGGAAAAGTAAAGCTTCACCTGCATGATCAAGGGATATGTGAGTGGCTGGAGAGAGAGTGGGCTCAAGGGTGCTATCAGAACCCCCCCCCCCGTAACCTGACACCCTCCCTGCCTCCAGCTTGGGGAAGTCATACACTGACAAAGGGGCTGTTCCCAGGGGCACTCAAGGAAGCGATGGTCTGTCCTCTCCTGAAAAAACCATCCTTGGACTCAGCCAAATTGGCCAACTATCAGCCTGTTTCCAATTTGCCCTATTTGGAGAAATTACTGGAGAGAGCGGCGGCAATTCAGTTGCAGAGCTTTATGAATGACACTTCCATGCTAGACCTGTTCCAGTCTGGCTTCTGGCCAGGCCATGGGATGGAGACGGCACTGGTCGCCCTCACAGACAACCTCCAGAGGCATATGGATCGAGGCGGCATGGCGGCACTGGTGTTGTTGGACCTGTCAGCGGCGTTCGACACGGTCGACCACCAGTTGCTGATCCACCACCTCACCGACACTGGGATTCAGGGTCTTGCCTCACAATGGCTCGTCTCCTTTCTCCAAGGTCAGGGACAGAGGATGGCGGTATGGGAGCAGACGTCCCAGAGGTACCCACTGGTCTGCGGGGCCCCTCAAGGGGTGGTGTTATCCCCGATGTTATTTAACATCTATATGCGTCCCCTTGCCCAGATAGCCCCGAGGCACAGACTTGGGTGTCACCAATACGCAGATGACACCCAGCTATATCTGTTGTTGGGCAGTCAGTCCAACTCTACCCCAGATGAACTGGAATGGGCGCTTCAGGACGTGGCGGGCTGGCTTAGGCTGAGCCAACTGAAATTGAAACCAATGAAGACGGAGGTCCTGTGCCTGAGTCGGAGTGCCTCAGGGGTAGGGATCCCACTACAAACCTTCAATGGGGCGCCATTGGTGCCAGCGCCGAGGGTCAGGAGTTTGGGAGTGCTCCTGGATGCCGCCTTAACTATGGAGGCCCAGGTAGCAGCCACTGCCAAGCCAGCCTTTTATCATCTGCGGCTGATTAGGCAGTTGGTTCGCTCCCTCGAACGTAATGACCTGGCAACAGTGATCCATGCTATGGTCACCTCGAGGTTAGGCTACTGCAATGCTCTCTACATGGGGCTGCCCTTGTCCCAACTCCGGAAGCTGCAGCTGGTGCAAAATGCGGCAACCAGGTTGTTGATGGGTCTCTCCATAAGAGATCACATCCAGCCTGTGCTGAAGGGCATTGCACTGGCTGCCTATAGCATACCGGATTCGTTTCAAGGTGCTGGTTTTGACCTTTAAAGCCCTATATGGTCGGGGGCCTGCCAACCTGAGGGACCGCCTTTCCCCATATGTGCCCCAGAGAGTACTGAGGTCAGGGTCACAAAACCGCCTGACCCTTCCTGGCCCAAAAGATGCCAGACTGACTATTACTAGAGCCAGGGCTTTCTTAGTGTTGTAATTTTAGTGTATTTATTGGTTTTATTGTATTTTAACTGTGTAAGCCCCCTTGAACCAGGTCATACCGGTAAGGCAGGATACAAATTGAAAGCAAATAAATAAAGGGATTGCCATTTCCCAGGTCCTGGTGGGGGATCCCCTACTTTCGCGGGCTCCTGCCCACTGCAGACCAACTGGCCGGCAGGAGAAAATTCCCCCCCAAACAGTGTCAACCTGCGTGATGCACTGACATCACCTGGAAGTGACATCAGCGCGTCACTAATGTCGGGGGGGATGTTCTGCTTTTTGGGGCAAAACTCTATGGTTTGAGGTCGCTTTTACCATAGAGTTTTGCTAAAAAGCAGAGTGATGCCCCCGACATATCTTCTGGGTGATGTCAGTGCATCGTGCGATGCCCCGCCCACTCCCAGAACACCCCCCCAAAGCCCCCTGGCAGCGAGATGGAGTGACCTTTGTTCATCTATGTGCCTACTAATTCTTTCCTTAATAATGGTTTCCACCAATTTACCCGGTATCGACGTCAGACTGACTGGCCTGTAATTTCCCGGATCTCCTCTGGAACCCTTTTTAAAGATGGGAGTGACATTAGCTACCTTCCAATCCTCAGGAATGGAGGCAGATTTTAAGGAAAGATTACATATCTTTGTCAGGACGTCCGTCTTGCCTCGGCCAGGGCCAGGGCTTTTTCAAGATTAGGGTCCTGGCAACCCTACATTTTTCAATAGGATAACATCTGTGAATGTAACATGTGATACACCACACTGAGGTTTATTTATAAAACAAATG